GGGGGGGGGCACATTGATCCCCGTGCTCTTGGCGGTAGCGGCTGGGCATCATATCATTGCAACGCTGCTGGTCTGCGGTCCTGAGTCGTCTGCTGCGGACTAGGTAGGCAGCTAGAGCTAACTCATGACGGAGCCATGCGCACGTAGCAGAAGTCTGTGCTTTTCTCTATTTCCTCGCCAAGAATTAGAAGAAAAATAGACTATCAAGCAAGGTTGGGAGACAGAGGGGAAGGAGAGGGGGGGGGGGCAGATCCACGAGACGCTGTAACAGTGCTCGAGTAAGGTTAGCTGCAAAACAACACAGGGCGAAAAAGAAAGATGACAATTACCAGGTGATTTTCAGGGACTCCTTGGTCGTTGCGGGCAGGCATCTGGTTGGCTCTGTGCTGCAATGCGATGCGGGTTTCGCTTTCAGTTTGGCGGACGCTGCCGCGGCGTTTCTGCTGGAGGCAAGATGGAAGAGCGCTAGGACCGTTTTCATGCACAATGGGGGGCTGTGCGTCGAAAACGACATGGTTGTAGATAACAATAGACAAGGAGGGGAAAAAAAAAAAAGAGGCAATATTCGTACAGAGACATAGATGAGGGAGTTTTCAGAGGAAAGCCATGCGCCCCCAACAACTTGGCAGCTGCCTGGTAGAGATTTCCGCCAGAGGCTCCTTCCTTGTCGCTTGAACTCTCGCGTTTACAATGTACAGGCCATAGCGCCCACGAATAGCGCAGGATCTATGTAGTATTGCGTAGCTGATCAATAACAAGCCTCGGGCGGTTCTTCTCTTGGCCAATTACGTATTACCTACTAGGTATCCCTTGGCGCTGATTTCGCCCCGACGCGGGCTATACGACATTCTCTCACTAGACCTAGCATACAACCCGCTGCAGGCGGACTATACCCAGCAATGGAGCCGGCTATCTAGACCGGCGAGTGAATGTCATCAATAACCCAGTAATTTGCAAGTTCCACTGGTCCAGACTCTCCACGTTTGCATGGATCTCGAATGTCGTCTTCAGACAAAAAGCGAAGGACTCCTTGAATGGATCCTAGGAATACATGCCTATAGATAGACTGGAGCGCACGGCGTGTCGTGCAGGCGATTGGTAATAACTGACAGCAAAAGATCATGCAGGATCGGCTGGGAGTCGATGAGGAATAAACATTCCGCGTTCTTCTTCCTCGTCTCTTTCTTGTTCGTGGTGACCACAGAAGTGCCCGCCTACCCCGTTGAGGCTCTTGGCTTGCCGCGCCTCTCAAGCCACCGAACGATGTGCTTGATAAATAGGCCGACATTATACAGACCTTTCTTGCAGAGGAAACGAAAAAAAAAAAAAGAAAAAAAAAGAAAAAAAAAAGAAAAACAGCCTCCAGGCTATAGCGATTGCGCTCTGTTATCGGCCAGGATTCACACCATAGATGCGCCGAGAGAGGCGGACTTCTTCAAGGGCCTAGTCTAACCTCATGGCGTTCGAGCTCCCGCCAACCAGCTGCCCATATTAACCCACCCTCCATCAGCTTACAAGGCCCAATCTCGCCGCCGCGGGGGGGCTTGATCGGTCCAGTGACGGATTTGGGGCCGCCGCTACTAAGGGGAGGGGGGGTGGGGGGGGGGGTGGCAAGGGGAGTACGTGCGTCTCATGGCACTAGAAGTTATGCTTACGCCGAGATATTGATCGAAGCCACCAATGGTTTGGCGGTTGCTCCCAACCCGGGTTCCCGATTCAGTCCACCGTGTCAGAGGGCGGGCCTTGTTTTGTGGTGCCCGGCGTTGGCTTGGGGAGGACCCCCATCTCCCACCGCAAAAATCTACCTATCCCGTATTTCTTCTCGGACCTGTAGCATTCGGACAAGCAAGCCTAGGCCCTCCCCCAAGAGCAAGGTTCGCCCGGGACGAAGGGAAGCCAAGTGGCCGTCAGGATCGAGCCAGTGGGACCGAGAGTGAAATCAATCGGGGCTCGGTGGGTGGCTGATAGAGGAAGTTGGCGATGCAGACAGAAGAAGAACAGCGAATCTCAAACTCAGGAAGCATTGGCTTTACTCTCGAATTAACTGCCATTGACTATGCACCTGGAAGGCTTTTTTTTTCGGTCCAAGGGGTAATAAAGAAAGACAGGGCTCCGGGGTTTGGTTTTGGTTCTGACGTGAGGACTGTTTTGCTCCCTTGGGCAGATCATGCCCCGAGCACCAGCATTTGCTTATCATCCCTACGAGTTGTGTATCACCAGAGAGTCCAACTAGTGCCCGAAGAGGGGAAAAGCAGGTCCCGAAATAAGCCGTCATCTACGGAGTACGGGAGTAGCGATATTGTCAGCCCTCTGGCACTTTAATCTGGTGAGCCTCTACGCACTACCAACGACAGGGCTGCTTACCCTCGTCAGCTCTGCTGTTTCTTGCCAAAACTTTATTTTCATTTCATCGGAAATAAGATTAACCTAATTTGTACCACGAGCGACCTTCGCATTATTTTTCTTCTTCTTCTTCTTCTTCCTCCTCTGCTCTCTAGCCTCCGCGTGCTCTCCTCGCATTGCAACGCTACTCCGCCCACCGTCATGCTACCCCAGTTTCTTCTACACGAGCAACGAGTTCGGGAGATTGCTAACTCACCCAAGTACGACACTTCTGGTGCGTGCCAACGCCAAGCTGGTGCCGAGATCTTCAGCGTTATGTCTACGCACACGGCGGTTTCTTCTCGTTGTGCATGCGTCATGTGCTTCAAAATTGATATGGTAGTTACGTGGCAGCAAATAGCCAATGCTTGGCACGCAAGACTAAATTCCATGTACAACCAAAAACAAAAGCTGTGCTCGTGGTCTTCTTCACCTTGCCCAAATCTTGAACCCAGGGTTCACCCAAAAACGCCTTTTATGCGGATCAATCTCACGCTGCAACGCCATGCCTTGGCATAATCTCTTTGCCCAATTGTAACCGGACAAGAAAGAAGTATGTACCGAGAAAGAAAAACCAACTCCATTTAACAGAGTGTAAAGCTGCAAGGAAAAAGGAAGACTTCTGGAAGAAAAGCCTACGTCATATTAGCAAATGGAGAGATTGACCTGCTCCAGGAATGAATATACCTTGTGGAAAGAAGCAATTTCTACTGGCTATCCACAGCCATATGGCTAGATGCATCGCCCAGTGCACAGAGCTGCTTGATGCTGTTGTAGACCAGGTTCGAGCGGTCACCCTGTCTTTGCAGCGGTGTGGCGGAGGCTAAGCCAGACAGTAGCGTCCACACATTGGGTAGCTGGAACAAGTCTCGGTTAGCGTCTCAGTCTCAGAAAGTTTGCGGCCCGAACTAAGCTAAAAAAAGACTTACTTTTTGTTGGATGGTGGCCAGATTCATGGCATTGCCATCGCATAGATCCTGGTTGGATCGGAATTCTCGGCACTCGATGGCGCAGATGTCTTCTGCCGTTTTGAGCGCCTCATCTTGGTACGCACGCCTCTCCCACACACTCCACTGCGTGGACTTTTGTCGAATCTCGGCCAACAGGGCAGGCAGGTGCCGGTTGCGACTCAGCCGCTGGTCCATTGCGAGAGAGGAGCAAGGGTCGAAGCAGCTTCCGTAGTACTGGGCAGCCATCGAGTCAAACGTATCGAACCCAACGCGACGAGCACACTCCAGGACGTATTCGAAACGCTCTTCGATACTCGAAAATTGGTGCGGCGATCCGGCGTCTGAAACTTCGGTTGCGGCGGTTGCAATAGAGCCCCATGGTGAAGCGGAAATAGCGCTCTGTGGAGCCACCGTTCCTGTTCTTGAGCTGGTTGGCGACATCATAGCAGGGCTGTTTTCCCAGGAAGTAGGGTTCGTGAAGAGTTTGGTATCATTTCCATCTTCTTCGGAGATTTCAGAGGCATGGCCTTTTTGAGACTGTCATTAGTGAAGCTCGTATGTACAATTCGAGAGCAACTACATACCGAGACCTGTGACAGTTCCTCTGTATCCAAAATGAGCGTCTAATTGAAGAGACTCTTGGTTGGGTGTCGATGCAGTGCTTCCGTTACGATACAGTCTTTGCATAGAGGACTCGCCGGGCATCTCCAGGCTGGGAGACATCATCGGAACCTGTTCGAGGCCGGTGGCGGCTGAGGGGTTGAGTTGATTTAAAAGAGCCGGGTTGTTGAAGGGAGGTTGGTGGTGGAAGCTGCGGGCTATGTAGGGGTTCGCAGCCATGGATACTGTCTCGGGCATGGCTTGAGCGGTGCCGTCAACAGCCATGCCAGGCCACATGTCATGGGACATCGAGCCCGGGGTTCTGGGAAGGGTCATCGTTTGTTGCCAAAGAGTGGGAGGCATGTTTCCGGCATTTGGGACAAAGCCCATTGAGCCGTCAGGAGTGACAGTTCCGGGCATGTCCTGGGGGTAGTACTGCTGCTGCTGTTGTCTAGCACGCATCTCACAAAGCTGCTGCTCGAGGTCCTGTACCCGCTGCTTCATACGGTTGCCTGTTGTCCTCTGGTCAGTGGAACAATGGGTGGTGCGAGCTGCTAGGGTTAGACTCACGGTACGTTCTTTGGGCAACTCTGTTCTGGATCCTCTTCTTGGTCTTTTGATCAGCGTCGGCAAGCGACTCTGGGGTGGTTTCACGGTTCATGGCCGCAGGTGGTGATTGGCTGCCACGCGGCTGGGCGCCGGCAGAGGAGGTGCTAGAGATGGAGGACATGGTCTTTTTGTGTTGACGGGATTTGTCGCTTGCTTCTGATGCCGTGGCAGAGGGCATGTCGGTCAAGCAACGAGTGGCTGAAGAGGATAGCGTAGGGCGTTGTTTCTCGTCTCCTCCTTGAATAGATGTAAGGGTTGACAAAGGTGGAATGGGCTGTGGTGTACAAGACAAGCGGGCAGATGAGCGGATGTGGGAGGTGCACGTGTATAAGTAAGTATACTCGATGGAACTGGGAGGACGGGAGCGAGGGGCATGCAGTAAATAAGGTATTTGGCCAGGTCGAGGGAGTTGAGATGAGTCAGTGGGGTAGAGAGAGCGTTTAAAAGGTGGTCCGGGGGAGAGAGTCGCATAACTATGGGAGTGAAACGTGGTGGAAGGAAGTCGGCCAGAAACATGGACCAGAATAGACATGGTCAACCAAATCTGCTAGCGGCACCCGGTCAGTCAGGGCGAGCTATTCCCAACCGGCGGGTTGGATCTCTCTTTGCGAGTGAGATTCGGCACGCCCCTCCTTTAGGTTAATAATCGTGCACCGCAGCGCCTTGGGCGTGTCCGTCAGAAGTCTGCACTTCCACTCCCTCCCGTTCGTCCTACTGCTACGCCTCCGCGGCCGTTGATGACACGCCCTGTCCGGCCTATCCCAGCCCAGCCGCCCCGATAGAGACGCACTTCTGCCAGGCAGCGGAGAAATGTACCAGTCGAGAAGTGGACGAGGAGCAGGATAGGTCGCTGATCCACTAGAATACTGGGCCAATTTAGATTCCAGATGGCTGCTGCGGCCAGTCTCAGCTGGCTGCGGTTGCTCATTGAGAGATATTACCAGGTGCCGAACCGGGGCGGCTCTGCGGACTGCTATGCGAGGTTCTTGTCCGCCGATGACATGATGGCCCCCAAGCCCCAAGCCTCAAGCCCCCTGCTGGCTAATAGGGACACCCACCACCCCTCCCCCTGTATTCGAGGCGACGGCCGCTGGCCAGTAGAACCAAGGTGAGGCATGTACGGAATTCAGGGTTTGTCCGGCTGACCCTGGGTTGCCGGTGGTGGGACTCGCTGGCCAGGGAGGGGTGCGGTAACCGTGCGGCCACGAAGAAGTCAGAAAAAGACTTGTGCGAGGGAAACAGGCCCCAGATTAGCGGCTGGGCGAATTGTTCTTTGGTATCCGTAGACTGCGCCGAGCTGGGCTAGTTCGTCGGAGGGAGATGTTGGCTCCGCTACAGAGATGGGCGGCGGATGGCGTATGGCATGTGTGTACCTGTGTGTGTGGTGTGCGTCCGACAGTGAAGCGGGATTCAGTTCGCGATTCGGCAATACCGTACGCCTGTTTACAACAACGGCAAGGTGAAGAAGCTTCCAAGAAGAACCAAGCAAAGCCAAGAAGATCAACATTGGGATAGGTTAACAAGCTGAGTCAGCCTTGGAAATCTCCGTTTGCCTGCCTGCCTGCCGCTGTTTTTAACGTCTCCGTTTGGCCGCCAGCTGCCAGATGCCAGTACTTCGTACTCTTCCAAATTTGAGTCCGTTTGCTCCTATTTTGCGCTTCAAACCCCTCACATCGTCGAGTCCAAGCACTACCACTACGCATATCCATGCGCAAAACTACCATCGCCATTGCCATCGCCATCACCTACCTATCTAGGGTCTTTGCCTGCCTGTCTGCCACCGCCGGCTTGCTCGTTTCCCAAATTCGCTCTTACATTCGCTACTGCTACTCTAACTAGTGGCTGCTCGCCCCCCTCTCCGCGCACTCTTGTTGTTTAGCTTCTTTCATAAGCATCCTTTTCGTTGCAACGCCGGTGGCGCCTTGTTTTTTTTCCCTGGGTCAAGCATACTCGTCGTGCAGCTACGGGTTCCACGGGTCGCTGGAGCTGGATACCCGCTGTTCTGCACGCTCCTGCATGCCCGTCTACGGTACGAGTGCCCAGTATGTATGTACTATCTCGCCACCATCATTCGCCCGTCCGTCCACGCGTCAAGTTCCTGGCCCGGGGGACGTGGATGACCCGTGAGCAGGCTGGTTACGGGCGCCCGAATGGGCCGCGATGAGTGGTTCTACTCGACGCCATGGCTTGGCCAGGACGGCCCCCCGATGGACAGTGGCCAAGGTTGCCGATGCCCATCTCCCGAGCCATCCTACGCGCTTGGCGCTGATCAGGAAGGAGGAAACAAAAAAGCAACCAGAATAGGAGGGCTCGCCTGCCAGCACAACGCCAACCGCCTTGCTTTCTGCAAATCATTCTCGTGGGGGATCTTCTGTTACTGATCGGAATCTGCCCTTTTACCGACAACCCTTCGTTGCGTTGACTTCTTCGCACCGGGCGCCAAGGTCGAAGGCTGCTCCGTCGCCACGTTGAATGCCAGCCCTAGCTTTTTTTCATCTCGTCGTGCTAGACTTGCTTCTGCGACAGCTTCACCGACTATGATCGCTTCTCCCGTCATCTTGGCCCTACGACCTTAACAAGCAATATCTTGACTGTGCTAAGCTGCACACCCCCACCACCTTGTTCGTTTGACCCTTTTTGTGGCTGGCGGACTTCGCCATGGCCGTCAGCCAGTGCTATGTGCGCTGTGCGCTGTGCGCGCCCATATCTGGGTTTCAAAAATGCAGATTGTATTGAGACGCAGGCACTGTCCTGGTTACTCGAGTCACAGCCAAGTTCTTTCAAACGGGTGCCTACATGCGCGGGTTACTCTCCTCCTCAAACCAATGCCAGTCCTCCCCGGCAGGTATAAGTCCTGTGACGAGGCTAGTTGTCGGTCAAGTTTCTTGGCGTAAGTTCGGTGGGTTTTCGTCGTCCCGTCTTGGTTAACGTTTCAACTCGTACACGTAACGCGAAGTGGCTAATCAACACCTTGGTTTCGTTCAACTCAGCCTTGTGCCGAAGCACGGCTTTACGCCCCACAAGCATATATATGGCCTCCGTCGCCATCCCCGAACAATCACTGCAAGTTGCTAATAATTACAACAACTAGGGAAAGAAAAACCCAAGGGAATGCTTAGCTCCTTCGTTCCGCTTCGCCACCTATAGTATCGCCAATTCTAGTATTTAATCGGGGTGTCTCGGCCTACGCCTTATTACATATTGTTTCGGCGATGTGTTCGTCGGGGCAGACGCATGCCATGCCGACTGAGCCATTTGTCCGACCTGGGGCAAACTACCGCCCCATGACTTGTCAAATGCCAATGTAATGGCTGAGCAATTGCCGATTCGTGCCGTTACGATATTTCGACCGACAATTTCATCTGAATCCCGGCATCTCGGCCGGAGGCTCCGTCTCACAATATCGAATCTATAGTCTTTTTTACGCCCCCAATTGCTTGCACCTCAGATGCGTTCTTCATTACTAGTGTCCGGGATGGATCACAGGCCCGAGTCCACTTTCGCATTTGTTTCTAGGCAACCGAGCAGGCTGTCAAGATTTCCGCGAGCAGCATCATTACCCGTCCGGGTGTTTTAGCTCTGGTACTTGTTCTCCGCCAATTTTACGACCTTGCTCTTTTTCCTCCGAGGCCTTACCCTGATGTCTGCGGCATGATTGGAAAGCTGCATCTGGCTTCCCGGTAAGCAAGCCGAATAGCGTCAAATAAGCTCGCAGATCCCAGCGAAGAGGGCCATCAAGTGCAACTCGCACAGTCGCATGAACTTGAGAATATGGGGCATGTCTGCGCTGTGCGGGCCTTTTTGGGTGAGTTGGCGCAGTCATAACAGACGAATTATCATGCAGGCTGCTTTGCGTCCACATTTACTATCATTATTAACTATGCAATCCAATATACCAGACATGGACTTGGACCACAGCAAGCCGACCTTTTTTCTCAAACAGCAAGGGTTTACGCGGTCCGAGATACCGGGGTTCGCACTGCTACTCCAAAGAAATTGAAGCCGGGGCCAATTCAGCTTGGCAGACATACCTCATAGGCGTGGCGTTTGTGCCAAGCGGCGAGAAGTCACAGGCTCACAGTAGGAGCACAATCATTTGCGGCCTTCGAGCCGGCTGTAAGCCAAATTGTGATCCATTTTACCACTCTTTGCCCATAGATCTCGGACTGCTCTTCTACATCTACATGAGGTGTCATCATGATAAGCGAGACGCCTACGATGTGGCAGTCTCTGCTGTATGCTCAAAGGCAGTTCCCTAACCACGCCCCACGGGTACTTTATTGACGAAATGAAAACTTTTCCCCCATAACTGGGGCTGTGTTATTATTAGGAAGCCGAATTGCGGTCCCAGTCAATGGCAGGGTTGCCGGCCGATTGCAGCAATCAACTCGCATGCGTATTCAGCTCTCGCCGGACAATGCTTTCTCCAGATCAAGGACGAAATCTGACGGCATTGCCGCAGGTCTCTCGCTACCTTGCATGCTATGAATTTGAACTTTTCAGGTCTTCCTTTCAACTTAGCTTTTCAGGTCGAGTTTTACCGGCAGGCAGTTAGCCGTTCATCCGAGCACAATTACGCCGATGGCGTTTCTGCATGTTTCAGCTACCCTACAAAGCAGAAGATCGGTGCCCCTACAGGAAGGACGACGGAAATAAACCCAAACAACGCTTCCCTATTGAGCCACCTGTCCGCGGCAACTACATGATTGGACCCGATCCCCCTCTAATGTCGTAAGCATCATCGCGGCAAGAGCCAATCGCTTGCGATGCGTATGTTTTGTGGCTGACAAGATAGATGATGAGCGAGCTAACTAAGGAAATGGCAAGGATGACGAGCCTCGACAACCAGTAAGGGCCTCAAGAGCAGCTGAGACGAGGGCTTGAGACCATTACTATGGCTACTTGGCCTGAATTTAATTAGCGTCAGGTCCCCGATTTCATATCAGGACAAGTCACGCTTCAGCATCTCGCAACGGATTAACCCAAGCAAGGCGCAACGCGAGACGCTTTTTGAGAGCTTATTCCACACTGGCTCGGAGGTACGCGCTTGACGATCCTCAGCCAGCAATCATTCCGCATTCCGACTTATTCATTTTACGGAAAGTATAATGGAAAGCCCCGTTAATATGATGTTTTGATTCAGCCTTCATTAATAAATGTGTGCAAGATGCAGGGTGG